AGCACAGACAGGTGCTGGTAGCTGCAGGAGGCTCTAGGCACAGGTAATGAACATCAGTAGCTTGCTTACCTTGTGAATATTGATCCTTATCCCAAAAGCTCTTCTGGAGCATAGTTAAAAGCAGGCAGCTACCACTTTGTTTAGAAAATTAGCTCTAGGTACAGTTCTTGATGGGTCCCCTTCCTGGTAATGAGAGGCTGGTCAAATAGTTACTCAATAAAATTTACAGAGTGGAAGCCTGTCCTTTTCTCCTCTTTGCGAGGTTGGGTAACTGGGGAACAAAATGACAAGATGACAAGATGACAAAATGACCAGATGACAAAATGACAATATGACAATCTGCAGTAAAAATCAGAAGGGGTTGTGGGTGCTCGAAATGAGCAGATGACCACCACTTGGATGGGAAAAGAAAAATGTCAGTAAAACATATCTCCTGTAAAGGCAAACAGGTCTCCTACAGAGTTTTAAAAGCCTCCGGTAGGAATGTAATTTCATCTGAATTTCCTGATAAGGGGAAATGACTAAACTGGAAGCTGCTCAAGTTTTTCAAGTAATGAGAGCACAAAAAAAGAGATAGAAGGTATAGGACAGGATATGACTCTCCCACAGTACAGTGGGAGGTTGTTATTCGAGGGGTTGGTGGGGGGAGGATCTCAATTTTCTAATTCATGTTTTTTATAAAATGTAGCATGAGTTAAACATGCAAGAGGGAGCTGCTGCTCTGTAGATCTTGCTCTGCAAGAGTAGCTAGTGAAACTAGGTAAACCCCAAAGCATATGGGGTTTTAAGTAATTTAGGGAAAAAAAACTCCATTATTTAAGATAATCTTACAAGTCGCTGTTAACTCATCCATAGAGTCCATCTGCTTCACTGCATATGATGCACTGTAAATTATCTTAGCTAATGCCATGTCCACAGTGCACAGATATATTCTTTCCTAAGCAGATGACCTGGTTAAAACCTGCAGAAGCCAGCCATGGGTCTAGAAACTAAATCAAAACTAACCAAACTGCAAATCTTTCCTTGACTTCCTCCCTATCAAACAGGAAATGAAAGCAAGATATTTTAAAAATTCTTTTTTTTTCTATTACATCAGATTATAGACAAAACCAGTCAAATTACAAGCACTAAAACAGAGACATGCTATCCACATCTCTGGAAACTATGTATAGTAATGCTGGAACTGCTGTTCCAGGGACCTGGACTTGGGGGTTTGCAATGGTTGTCCCCTTTTTTCAGTGGTGAAGTGTTCTTTGGCTGTCTTTGGGGTGGTTCATAGACTCTGTGAGCCTGCACAACTCAAAGGAGGTGCTACAATAATCATCAGTGGAGCAATATGTCCCTATCATTCAGATTGAAGATGTCACCTCCAAATGCACTTTCCTGGGACCACATCTAAACACTGCCAAGTGAGAACACAGTGGCTGATTTTCCAAAAGATATTAAATGTAGTGGGTTTTTTATAATCTATTTACAAACTTTTCTTAGGAAAAATCAATTCCAGTGAACGACCTGACATCTGTGTGGTATATTAATTATTACTAACATATTGAAGTAGACTAGATTGCAGCATGGGCTTTCTGTGTTGGACTTTGTGCAGTTATGCAGGTCTGAAAGTTTTTCTGACATACAAGGATAACACTCAGATAGTTTCCAGCCTGATGGTGAAACTGCCTGAACTGTTTCATGAACTGATGTTCTGGAGGTTTTCTAGAAAACATTTGTTTTGGCTCATATTCTATGCTTTTCGGTGCCCTTCCTGGTTCCATGGGTTTATACTATATTCTTGGGCGGGGGGCAGTGGTCATGGTTTTCTGTGGTCCCTGGAGAGTGAAAGACACTGCTTACAGAGACTGGAGGGGGAAAGCCTTGCACTGAGGCCAAACAACTCCTGCAAACCCTCTGTGCCCAGCCATATCCCCGTTAGGCTTTAGACAGGTTAAATGTGGACAGCAGTGTTAGACAGACATATGAAATGCATTGTGTCTTCTTGATCTGAGTATTCACAGATCTGCAGCTGAGTTTAAAATGGATGGATAAAAGGACAGCACTCTATGTAAAAAAGAAGCCAGTTAACATATATCTCACCCATACTCCTAAATGTATTTTGCACCTTGTTATTATTTTGAAACAGGTAAGATGACATTAAGAGGGGATATATGCTGCTAACTGATGTAATTACAAATCTGTTCCAGTGGACTAAAGCTGAATTTTAAAATTTACTTGCACCTCACAAACCCACATCAACCATTTCTGTTGGAATGCCATCTACATGTCCAGCTTGCATCTGCTTGACAATGGCAATGCTGGGAAGTAGTGGCAGAGGACAATCAACCATCCTGACCTCTCATCCCCCCACTTTGCTTCTGCCAAAGCTGTTATCTCTCAGAGCATTTGTCACAGATACACCAGGAGACACAGCAGTTGAAAAGCCATTATCTCTTTCAAAAGTAGTGACTAATGTGCTTTTGCCCACAGCAATGTGGAAAGTCATAGGAAGATTTTGCTGTAGAATCAGCTGTGTTTACCTTGTGGAAAAACAGCTGCATTTTCCTAATAATTTTTTTTTTTTTTTTTTGAGAAATAGAGGTCTTTATTTCCTGCAAATCTTTTCTGGTAGCTTTCTTCTTATATTTGTCCTGGAACTGTTGATTGGTATTTTTATATCCTTCTGGAATTAGCAAGCATGTAATTTAAAGTTTATTTTTCTCTGAGTAAAACAATATTTCACTTGACTGGATTATATTGTCCAGTGTAATTACATGTGGTTTGATAATCAAAACTTTAAAAAACCTTTCAAAAAAATAATGACAGCTGACTTTTCTGCCTGTGGTGGCAGCCCATCTACCACAATATTCTGCAACATGGGGGCAAGCCTATCCCACCTGGTGCAATGCACAGTGGTGAATAAAAATCATCACAGCCAACTGATGCCCTCACTGTGCTCCATTTTAGGGAGAAAAGGTTGGTGCTTGTAGTTCATTGCAAGGCTTGCTTCACTAAATCATCTTTTCAGACAATGGACTTCTGAGAAACCTTTGGAAAAAACAAACTCCAAGGAGCTCAGGTGGTGGCAGTACCTTTGCAGTGATTCTTTTCATTGTGGGGGATGAAGGGGAAGGAGAAAGCTTTTCACTTGCACAAGTTGCAAGTCATCTATGTAATGGGTTTATAGCTGGGAAAAAAACCTGCATGATTATATACAGTGACATTTATATTTGCATTGCTTCAAATTGATGTAGATGGTACAATAACTTCACAGTTCTATTTTTCCATGTGGGGCTGTGTGTTAACAGTTAAACAACTGAACAAAGTGTAGGTGAATATAGTCACTTAGTTTTCTCAACATCTCTGTCTTGAATGCTTAAAATCTGCTTACAGCATGAATACAATTAAGCATATAGATGTGTTTCTCTTTGCTGCATCAAGGGTATTCAAGCATGTGGCTGTTCTCACACACTTCCAGCTGACTATAATGCTCATGTGTTTTTACCCCAGGAGCTGAAGATTTACATTGTACTTGGTAAACTTTGATGCAAAAAGTGATCAGTTTTAATTCCTACCAGATACAGGCAGGGTAAGATGAAAAGACAAATAAATCATTGTATGCAGAGCAGGCATGCATCCTAACTTCCAGAAACTGTGTATCTATCTTGGGAAAACTATTTCAACAAGGATCAAGCTCTCACAAGGTAAATGCTGGACTTGTAGCACTTCTCCCCTCTTGTTCTCAACCTAGGACATAACCAGTCTTGTTCTGCACACCAGTTAAATGCGGCTGTGTCCCCATGGCGCATCCCAGTTTGCCAGAAGGTTTGTTTGGCTGTAGCCAGGTCTGCACAGCTGCCCACTCAGCATAGCCCCATTGGGCTCAGGGCCCCTCTGCTCTCTCTGCACCTTTGCAGTGCATCTACTACAGAGAGTTCCAATTTTCTTCACCAAATGCCAGGGATTTCGATTTTTTAAGCAAGAAATTCTCAGTTGATCAATACAGCATTTCCCAGATGCATCCTGCACATGTTCAGTCAGCACAAAGGGTTGTAAAATAACCAACGTTGCTGCTTGGTGGGCTTTGGAAAGACTCTTGCACACAGGGCAGCACTGCCTGCTGGGGGAGGGCTCCAGCACAAATGGGTGCATAAGAGTTTGGTTGGAGCAGCCCAAGTGTGCCAAAGATGCACTAGGACTCTTTATGAAAACCTTGTGCCTAGCGAGGCAAATGTAAGATGTCTCTCAACGGGCTGCCACAGTACTTTTCTTCAATGAATAAATATCATTTTATTTATTTTCAGTTTTATTACAATATGTGTCTCTTTTGACAGTACTGAGCTGCAGCTTAAATACAAATAACAATTACTCCCTTATTATTGCAGTAATATAAAATAACTTGGACTAGATTTTGAACAGTTTTGAATGCCGCAATGCATGAGTGCAAAATGTCAGAGTTTTGGAAACAGCTGGATTTTCAAGCAGATCTGATGCACAGATACACAGACATCATTATCAGGCCCCAAGTCAGGTACAGAGCCACTGGTCTTATGTGAAAGCATAGGTACCTAACCTTGGTTTTTCAGGTTTTTAGAGCTCATCATCACCAGAAAACAGTGAAGCCCTTTTCAATTGTTAGTTGAATCAGATTTGAAAACACCACTGTGAGATGAAAAAGTACTATTTACCTATTTTTACAAATGGATACATTGGTAAAAGATCCATTTAATTTCTGCAGAGAAAGAATGTCTTCACTAGTGAATTTGATTTAGCCTAAAACCTGACAACAAATGTGCTTGAAACTGAGAGGAAAACCAAACCAAACCATTTTGCATGCATTTACCAGCTACTGTGACTAATAGCATAGTGACTGTGGGGTTCAGAAGGACCAGGCTGAATACTGCTGCAAAAAACACCACAAGCCCATCAATGTGGAGACAGTCTGTCTAGAAACACAGCACACAAAGCAGCAGCAGCAGCAGCAGAGTCTGCCCTGCCTACACCAGAGCACCGGGAGCAGCCGGCTGGGCTGGAGCCAGCATTGCTGCTGCTGGGAGCACAGAGCTGGAGGTGTTGGGAGATCATTCCCTGTGCTCCCAGCTCAGTGAGGCAAGCTGGACCCTCCTGGGGAAACGCCCTTTTGAGAGAAAAGGTGGCAAAAAGGTGTTCCTTTTCTGGAAGAAAGGAGATTTAAAAGATGTAAGCAGATTGTGTTCATGAGTGATGCCTGCCACAGTGGGGCAGGAACTGTGGTTTGTTTTCTGGTCTTCTTTACAAGACTGACTTCTCAGTTGGATCATGTCACCTTGGCTTCATATGTCTCATCTATGGAGAAGGAGAGATGGAAACATCCACACTGCTGTTCCCACAACCTTCTGCCTAGAGATCAACAGATAGTTTATCTTAATAAAACAATTTTTTTCTTAATCTAAAAATTTATTTGCTGGAGAAGAGATGAAGAAAAATATTTTCCTAAGTTTTGGTGCCGAATCAGCTTCTCCAGCTAATTATAAAGTGACTTAAAGGAATAGTCTACATGGTGTTGATCCTCTGGAGGTGGTTGCTATGTAGCACACCTGCCAGGATGCTGGGATGTGACAAGATATGCTCCATACAGTCACATGCAGGTGGCAGACTGCCCCTGCCAAGGGCAGGCAGCAGCCTGGGGGGCTGCCTCTGAGAGCAGCTGTTTGTGGTCATCTCTTCTTCTTGTTGCCCCTTCTGCAGGATTTGTGATATGATGTGCCACTTCATGTACTCCCCATGTGTCAAAAAGCTGATTTCCCGGGAAAATTGATGGCCCACACAAGGTTGGGGCTGGCCAGTAGCTGAAGAAGTGGTCCTGCTGGCTCAGCAGTGACTGCAGCTGTATGCGGGATAAGCACCCAGAGAGTACCTGAGGTTACACCTGGAGCCAAAGCTAAGTTGGGCTGGAAGGAGAACATGGAACCCAAAATATTTGTGCATTAACTGTTAGATCAACTCATTCAAAACAAATATTGTAAAAATAAACTGCATAGATGCTACCTGCACCAGGAGTTTATTATATGTTTCAAAACAAAAATATCCACCCTTTCCTTTGGTCTTAGCCAGACATTGCATGGCAGTATTTTCTGGACTGAGTTTATTGAGGGATAAGAACATTAAATAGTTAAAAGGATTCTTACATCCCAATGAATCCTTCACTAGGAGAAAATAAACAAACAAGGAAAAACTGCCCAGATCGTCCTCCTCCTTTAAGTCATGGCAAGTGTTGTGAGGGTGACTGCTGCCACACAGCTAAAGGACTAAGGCACTTTGTAAATCAAATTTCAAGTAAAGAGATTGGTTTGCGAAACCTCCTCGGCGTGGAGTCACAAGCTGTCAGAGTGTATTAGCATTATGTTACTGGAGTAAAAAGCAAAACAAATTAAGATGTTTAACAGCTGAAATCTGAAACAAAATTGTGTTTAATGCTGAAAATCTTGTTAACATATTTTCAGGCTTCCCTTTCCCCAGATATTAAATCTCAGTGTGTTTGCGAGCATCTTTTTATCACACACAGAAACCTACTGTGAGAGAACGAGAACTGTACACGACATATGGTAAGGATGGGCATTTCACCCTGCATGCAAAAGCCTCTTCAGCATTGCTGCAGCATCCAGTAGCACGTGGGAAGGTTTTAAGGACCTGGAGAGATGCACAGCTGGAATTCCCTGTGTGTCCAGGGTGACAGAAAGCATCGCATCAACAGCAACAGGCCCAAGTTGAAGATTGCACATGTTGTAGCATTTAATGTGAGGGGTAATTTGAACTCCCCAACTGGTTTTTCTTTCATATTGGCTCCCACAATGAAAGAACCATTAAGCGTTTTAGTGATCTTCCAAGACTCTGCTTCCAGCAGAAAATTGGCTCCTTCTCCTTGGACAGAAGACCAATTTTTAATTGAATTTCAAGAGATGATGGATGTTGTACTTTATTCCAAGTCTATATGCTAAATTAACAAGGCTGTCCGCTTAGTTTCCTCTTTTGAGACCACATTGAGATGAGTTTCTACTAATTCTCTTACACAGGGCATTAGACATGTGAACGGAGTCCTTATTCAAGAATTTAAATAATAGGCTTTTTTTTGCCAAGCTTATTATTTTGGGTAATAATTTGAGCTGTGAGGCAGCGACAATAATTTGCTTTCCAAAAAAGAATTACCAGCTGAATTATTTCAAGTAGAATCAAACTAAACATATATTTTCATCAAAGTATTTAAAAATATTAATTAACTTTTAAAAGTATGTCTTAGAGCAGGGACCATTCCATTAGGTGGGTCCATTTCTTTTTTTTTTTCCTCATGCTCCCCCAGTCACTTTAAAAGATAACAGAAAGTCCCTCAGGAGTACTCTGGATTACAGAATATGTTTAATCTGCATTAGGTTTATTCATTCAGTTATTAGCATGTTAACAGATGCTGTTGATTAGTTAAATATTTGGTTTGGCAAAACACAGAAAAAATGGCATAAAAGTTAATGTTCTTCTTAACTCTGGCCAATGCAGTAAAATTTACATAGTACTGTACATAGAGATGTTTCACAGAGGTAAGCAATTGGGAAGGTAGTTCAGGATGAAATTTTGGACAGAACACAGGAAATTTGAAGGCAAAACTCTGACCAACAGGGCAAAATCAGGAGCCAGCTCAATTAAGTCTATGTGTAGAGTTCTACCAATAGAAGCTGAGTTGTTTCCTGAAAATACTGCGGTGGCCAAAAAAGGAGGCCACCTGCTCTGAGAACTGTAGTTGGAATTGCTTAAACACCAATGAGCCTAGAGCTAGGAACAACTTTGTATTTATGCCTATTCTTTTTAAATTGGAATGTTTATAAGCAATTGTGTTTGTAATTGTAAAGTGGCCCAGGACAGCAATAAACAGACTAAATGGTTTCCTTTTGGCAGCACAGACCTATCAGGTCTTATTTCCCAAGGAGTTTTTGAGATGGATTGAACAAACTGGCCACGTGGAATGGGGTTCACACTTCATCATGTATCACAAGATCGTGTTTCTCAACTGGGAAAAAAAAACTAATGCAAAAATGCAACTGTCAGTGTCTTCCTCAAGAGGAGGTCAAATACAGAGGCGGCATATATCAACTAATGAAAGCAACAGGATGAAAGAGTGTGGGTGAAACAGCTGAGTAATTTAAGCGTGGAATAAATAGAATAATATAACACATTTGGCATAATTGAATAATGGCCTTCCCACAGGTGACACAAGGTGGAAAAGCATTGTCTTTATTCAGCTGTGATTATGCTTCCAAACAGTAACTTGTTAAATAAAATAGTAATAAAATGCCAATTCTTTCTTACAGCTTTGTATTTCAAAATTATTTCAGTCCTACTTGTGTCAGACACCAGGCTCATCCTCCCTTGCATGGATGTTGCCAAAGATTCCCTTTTTGTTAATGTTTGCTGCTGCAACAGAATGACTCAGAACCAGTTTTAATTATGGCTGCAGCCTGAATGATCCACAGAGCTCATCATTAGGTCCTGGGAGAAGCTAATGGCTTATCTGTTCTGAATAATTGTTTGGATCTTCTTTTCCATCAGTTTTCCATCAGTGATATCTCATTTGTTTGAGTTGTGTACTAGAGAGTTGACTACTCAGCTCATGGACTTAGAAATTAAAAAATACATTCTGGCAACTAAATAAAAAAACATTTTGAAGTTATTTTCTTAGAGCATGAAATCGGTGTGAGCTTTGAAATACTGCATCCTCAGGGAGCTACACTGATTAGCAGTATCTGATATGTTTTTATAACTAATGTTAGTCTCACTCAATGACACAAGTGATTAAGCAATTTGTGCCTTCTCACATAGTAACAGGAAAGTTATTTCTCAACAGCTCTGCCACTGATAGTAAGCTGTAATTTTAATATCTTTGTTCAAAAGCCATCAGCATGGTTAACACTCGGTTTGTTAAAGTCACAAATCCCCTTTAACGATGGATAAATAGAAGTCCTGCTATAAGTAAAGTTTTCTTTCGCAGCTCCTTGAATCATGGTGGTGATTTTGTCAGCAGCAGAGGCTTGTTGGTAGGGATGGTAGCACCTGGAAATTTTGACACCTGTCATCGCAACTCCCTAAGCTGTGTGGCAGTTTGGTTCCTGAGGGAAAGGGAGGGTCCAGGTGCTCGTGGAAAAGAGAACTGAATGGCTTTCATGAAGAAAAACTGTTAGGGGACAATTCATAACCCGAGCGAGCAAAAAGTGACAAGTGAAAGCAGGTTTGATGCACTGTTGAACAATCCCCTGAAGCCCTGCTGCCGTTTGTGGGTGGGTGATTGCTGTGACAGAAGAAATAGCTATTATGGAGGAGAATAAATTGCATTTCTAGTGCACCTGTCCCCCGTGTAAGAAAAAAAAACACACTTGTAAAGACACATGTCTCAGCTTTTACCTCTGCGCAGAAAAATCTGGGACACGACTCCCCCCTGGACAGCAGGACACCCAGCTGAAATCTGAGTTCTCCTCTGCCTGAAACTGCTGTACTGAAGGAGCCTCTTCAAAAAACATATCCCTTGTGGCTAATTTGTCACTGGGGGGAAAAGGAGATCACAGAACTCAAAGTGATCTGGGAAATGCAAAAGAGACACACAGAGGAGTTTCTGAGCCTGCACTTGCAGGCTATGGAGGTTTTGGCACACCTGAGTTTCAATGGGATCACTGTCCTCCAGACACACATAGCAGCACGTCTCCCCATGACCTTCTCCTCTGCCTGAAAACTCAGAAAGGAGAGTTTTTAAAGGTCTCTCATCTGTTCTGCCCACAACAGGTATAATTTTGCTGGGGACTTTTGGGGAACTAATCTGTTGTATCTATCTCTCCTCCCTGTCTCTCTTCCCTGCAACCCCAATTAAATGCCTATAAGAGAGTTTTTCTTCTCCTACCTCATTTCAGTTTTGAGATAAAACTGATTCCCAATGTATGGTTTTATTCTTAAACGTTCTGCTGAGTAGATCTCATTGAAACCAGTATTGGCTGAAACTTCTCAACAGCTGTAGGTCAGAAAATTCTCATCCATTCAGGTGTGTTACAAGGCTCTTCAAGCTGCGCTAGGACTACAGTAATTTCAC